GTCCCTGTGCTTTGCCAAGCTTTTTCCAAGTAGGTGCTTTAGACCACTGAGGCTGATTTGATTCTAAAGATTATGAAACAGCACAACACTTCATATGCTTCATGCCCCTTTCCCATTTGTGGTTTTAAAGATTGGACCCAGAGTGGCATACATGCTAGGCAAGTACTCTGCCACTGAACTAGTTATATCCTAAGCCTAACCTTATTTTTGTTAGTAACTTCTGGGCTTGGAAGTTGCTAGAGAAAGTTCTAGTGCCTGCATCTTCATTCTATGTAGGAGTAAGGTAATGTCATGTATTGTGGTTTTGATATGGTTGCAGTGTGTTTGCCTAGGGTTCCCTTAAAAGTAGATATATTAGAACTCAATGACATTTGAATTCAGAATATGTTATTTTACTTTCATGGATTTAATGGAAGCAAACATAGCAAAAATATTTTCGTTAAAATCAGAAGCTTGGTTTTAATTTTCCTGGCTGAACAGTCTCAGTTGGGAAAGCCGTTAGATTGAAGAATGCATAGACTTTGAAGGATGTTCTAGTAATTTGGTGCAATTTAAAAGCAAGGCAAATACTGAAGAACCTTTGAAGATGAGAATCACTAGGGAGACATGGACTGTATAGCTAGGTCATGCTAAGGAATGAGTGTGTTTCTGGGGATGGACCCCAGGGCCTGGTGCTTCACAAGCACTCTGAGCTACTTCCCTAGCCTGGATGTTATTTTATTGTATTTTTTTATGTATTTAGTATAGGGTATATGAGGTCTCACTACACAGATTGGACTCATAGTGGTCCTTCTGTTTTCAGTCTCCCAGGTGCTGGGATTATAGGTGTGTGTCACCACACCCAGTCTCATTCCATGTCTTAGTGTGCCCTTGGGGGCGGGGCCCGCACCACATGCTGGGGATCAAACCCCATCCCTGCACTTGTCTAAGCAGACCCTTTAGCTATCTGGCTGGCCCTTGGATTTTATTTTGAAGGGAATGGGAAACCTCTAACATTTTAAACAGGTGTTTAAGGAAGCTTATAATCACATGAATACTGAACACTAAAAGAGGATAAGAGTGGAATTAGAGAAGACCTAGTGAATTATAAGGTATAAATGTAATTCTAAGCTGGGCATGGTAGCACATACCTGCAGTCTCAGGATTTGGGAGGCTGAGGCAAGAGATAGCTGTGTTTGTGACCAGCCTGGGCTATACAGTGAGTTCAAGGCCAGCCTTACATACACAGTGCGACTGTCCAAAAAAAAAAAAAAAGAAAAGAAAAAAACATGAGTCCAAGATAGATAGACTAAGTTTTATTGATTAAATGGGGAGGGGGAGAAAGAGGAAACAAATTCATTAGCAGACCAGTCACTCAAGTTTCACCATATACAACTCGTTCTTTATATCATATTACATGTTTGTTCCTAAAATATAAGAAATATAAATTTCAACCATCACTTAGTATCCATTATCAATATAAGACATTATCAGTGAGGGCCTAGAGACATAGCTCAGCAGCACAACACCTTCCTGGCAAGTGCAAGGCCCTGAGTTCAAATGCTGGGACCTAAAATAAAATAAAAATAAAAATTTAAAAACACATTGTCAGTGAAAGACAGACTAGAGTTTCAGGAAGAAATGACTCAAAGGCACAAGGAGAGTTATTTAATATTTTTTTTAAATATTTATTTATTTATTTGTTTATTTAGTGTGTGTGTGGCCAGCTCAGCCCACCAGGGGGTGGGCCTGGCTGGCATGTGGTGCTGGGGATTGAACCGGGGTCCCTGTGTTTTGCTTAGCTTAGCTTGTTCTAAGTAGGTGCTTTAGACCACTGAGCCATCTCACCAGCCCGAGAGTTATTTAATATTAACAAACATATTAGGAAATACAACATTTTTATGTAATTAATATAAGTATCAAAATACGCTATCCAAAATATGATAAAGTCATTTCTTAGAATCTGAGGGATTGGTTACAGGGCCTTTGTAGATAGAAAAACCTAAGGGTTATCAAGTCCCATATATAAAATGCCATTCCTCTAAATCATCTCTATATTCCTTATAATATCTAGTACAACTTAAATGCTCTATAAATATATTATGTAAGGAATAATAAGGAAAAAGTCAAGATAGGTTTAGTGTAAATTTTTCTTCAGATATTTTTGATTGGTAGTTGGTTGAATTCACACTTGGAATTCACAAATGTGGCATGCCAACTGTACTCTTTTTTTTTTTTTTTTTGGTACCAGGAATTGAACTTACAACCTTATACTTGCTGGGCAGGTGCTATGCCACTGAGCTGTATCCCTGGCCTCCTGTACTTCTTTCTAAGAAGCATGCCAAGAAGCTTAAAAAAATTTTTTTTGTTTGCAGAACTGTGGATTGAACTTGGGACTTTGTCCTTGCCAGGTCAAAAAATTTTTTGTGTGTGTTTTTGAGACACTGTCTCGCTCTATAGTTCATGTTGGCCTTGAACTCACTTTGTAGCCTAGGCTGGCCTCAAGTTTTCTGTGATCCTTCTGTCTCAGCCTCTTGAGTGATAATGTTATGGATCATACCACTACACCATCTGCCAAGCAGCTTTTGTCCGTACATCAGAGTTAACATGGGGGCCGGGCAGATGGTTCAGTGGAATAAGCGCTTCCCTGGCAAG